CCAAGTATGGTAGCACTGTAGCCCCGGGCCATACACTTTTTGGCCCCCAAGGTCTATCTTTTAAACACCTCATCACCCCACTTCAAATATCCAATCAAGCTTGCTGTGACGAAGTCTAAAGACGTCTAAGACACACAAAATATCACATAATTCGCGACATTACATCACATCAGCATCAATAAACCTTGGCTACATCACCTTTCAGGCGATCGCCCTTCACTCCTTCCCCTGTCATCTAACACGGCTCCTCCTCTGCTCATTTCCGTCCTTCTACATCCTCGCGCTGCCGTTTTTCACTTCAATCACCTCGTCTACCTCACCGCCACGAAAAAAAAACGAACACGATCTTCCTACTCCTTACTGCTCTCAGTTTCTTTTACATTTTTAACCTCGTCTCTCTCCTCCTCCTCCTAATCTACCTAGCTCTCCTAACCTCGTACTGCCTCTTATTGCCTGGGCTTTAAAACCAGTTCCGATCTTGATGCAGCATCTCCTCTTCTACAGCTTAGCGAAGCAGGCCAGGTAACCAGAACGATAACCACTGTCGAGCATAGGGGCCGTTTCCGGCATCGGTTGTAAAACCAAACAACATTTTCTTGTTAGCTCTGCGCTCATATCCACTCTGTGGCCTCTCCGCTCCCCTCAGCACTAGTCCGTGCCTTACACACCTTTGAAATTCCCTGCTACCCCTTGTGGCAAGCATACTCACAGCTGTGTGCAAAGCCACAGCCACTGGCACGGCACCGCACAGCTACTCACTATCCATGTTCACGTCCAACTCCTGCACCTCAGCATCCACGATTATTATTACACCTTATCCACGCATGTAGGTTAAAACATACTTCACTCCCTCCATATCCATTCCTCCTCCTTCCCACCTTCCAACACCTCTTCTCCTCCAGACAACTGTACCTGTGAAACAATCTTCACTCTAGCTATCTTTACGTCTACTCCCCCGAGTGTAAATCTATGCTATAGCAAACTGAGCATCCCTTTACAACTGTATCTGGTCACCTCCGATCACTTCTCATTGTAACCGCATCACACAGATGTCTGAAGCTACTTCCTCACCTCTCTGCCACTCCTCGGCTTCCTTACAACTCCCCTCCCATTCCAAAGCCTGCTAGCCAACGCGCACCAAGACCTCCCAAACTTCTTGTCCTTTCCTCCTGCTCCCTACTCCCACACGTTATCCTTTTACTATCACGCACTCCTTTCCCTCCCAATCCGCACGCCTCTCAAATACCCGATATACACAAATATATCTGCTAATCTCAAACAGATGAGCAAGAGATCCAGCGAACGTGCCAATTCTCCTCTCCTAGACCGTACCGTGCCATGCGCCAACCAACCAGCCACAACGTACGAGGTTGATGTGTGGCGACTGTGGCGGTCTAGCTAGCACTTTCTACCTCCTTCCTGACACTGTTTTTACTCACCCCTAACGACCGGCCTCCCTACAAGGCAAAGCTCACCATTCCCCACTCAAACTCACAAGTACATTCCTGAATTAGTAATTGTACTCAACTCACTGAAGGTTCGCTACACTTCTCACAAATTAATCTGCGTGCCATCGTCACCTCCTCTCTTCATTCATCTCACTTGTATTCTCGAGGACAAGAGATGGGCTCTCTGTCCTCCGCTCCTCCTCCTTCTCCCTACTCAAACACATTCCTCATCCTTCTCTTCCCTCCTCCTCCTCCTCGCTCCTGCCTCCTCCCCTCCTCCCCGTCCTCCCTTCCTCCCTAACTCAAAACCCCCTACACAGAACCCTAAACCCTAAACTACACTGCCTACCGGGAAAAAAGCGTCACCAAATAACTACGAGCGTCCAAATACGCCCGGGGTACTGGCGTATATTGGACCACTGATCTCTAAACTATACTAACTGATAGCTCTTAGCCTATCCACGAATCAACGTGAATTGTGACGCCCACCCCGCCGAGCGCCACCTGCAGCCCATCCTTGCAACGCACATCCTCAAAGCTGAAATGCTGCCGGTCTGTGCCCCACAACGATTCACAATGAAAAATAAGAAGCGACTTATTCTATATTCAAATTAGCAATGAAAAAAATACTTTGATCAATACTTAAGAGATTTATATAAATATGATATGTATATATCCTAGATATATACAGCTAGAATGAAAGAGAACATAGTAGAATATAATTACTAGATATATACATATGCCATATTTATAGATCTCTTAAGTATTGATAAAAGTTTTTTCATGCTAATTTGAATAATAGAAAATTAAAGTCGCATTTTCTTATTTTTCATTTGAAATGTTGTGGGCAACAGACCAGCAGATTCAGCTTTAAGGAGTGTTGCAAGATGGCGGCCGTGGCAGCGGTGGCAATCAACATTTGATAGCAACGAAGCTATCCAGTTAATATAGTAGAGATCAGTGATTTGGACGCATCCGGCCTGCAACTGGGACGCATCAGCTGAAGTGCGCATTCGCGGCAGGCGCCTCTTGTTTTGCAGGGCCGTAGGAAAATAGTACCAATGCTGTTCTTTAATTTTTATGGAGGAAGATGAGGCAAGAGGAGAAGGTGTTTGAGTAGGGAGGAGGAAGGAGTAGGGGGGAAGGTAGAGGAAGGGAGAAGGGAGAAAGCTGGTGAGAAGGAGCGAAGGGGAGCAGGAAGGAGGAGAATGGAGCTGGTGGAGAAGTAGGGGGGAAGGTGAGGAGGAGGAGAGGGGGAATGCACAGCTTCTCCCCCTCCTACCTTCTCCCTAAGCATCTCCCTTCTCCCCTCCCCCTTCCCCCTTCTCTAACCAGCTTCTCCCTCCTCCTTCTCCCACCAGCTCTCCCCCTCTCCTCCACCACTTCTCCCTCCATCCTCCACCAGCTTCTTCGGCTTCTCCCCTTCTTCCTTCATACCACCAGATAAACGAAATATGAGCTCACTGCGGCTTACTACTTGCGCCAGCTATAACGCGACGTACGTACATTCCCAAAAACAACGTGTGAAGCGCTGTTTAACTCAAGGTCACGCTATAGCGTATCGTACGCGTTGAAACGGGTTTTACGGTGTGTTGGCCAAGGCTGACGCCTAGACGCCTTAATAAGGCTGCGCCTTAGACGCCTAGACTGATGCAAGGGCTGATGCAAGAACAAGAGAAAAACAAAAAGAGCATGCGCGCATGCGCACTTATGAGGCGTCCAGATTTCGGGCGAGCGTCCAAATACGCCGGTACACCCGGCATCATTTGACGCCTCGTAGTAGAGGCTACTAGGCGCAATATTGCGCATCGCGCTGTGTGCGCCGCCATTGCAAAACGAGGCCGCCTGCGCGCGATCGCACTTAGGAGCGTCTCAGTTTCGGGCAGCGTCCAAATACGTCGGTACATTCTTATTATAGATTCACAGCATATTTTTTAGCTGCACCTTGACGATCGTCAAGACTGAGCTATTGGCCATGGGTCGTCGTTCGTCGTCCATCCTGTCCGTCCGTCCGTGTCGGCTCCGTTCGTTCGTCGTCCGTCCGTCACATTTGCTACGGTCAAACGATAAACTCGGGAACGGTTTGCACCGCACAATGTTTGAAAAAACTGGGTTAAATAGTTGTTACTGCTATGTCTCCTATAATAACACGTCCTATTTTCGGACATGCCAGTGCGACGGTACTTTTGACGCCACGGCCAATTTTTTGAAAAAATGGATTGCCATTAGTCAGTTCAGTTCAACGGATTTTGCTCAATTTTTGGTAATCGTGAATGAATTAAGGGCTAGGAGTTTGATATTTAAAAAGAAATTATGCAAATAGGTAGGGTTTGGCAATTATATAGCATATTTATATAGACACGCAGATAACAAACAGTCTGTGGTGTCACACTTCGTCTGGTTCGTTTAGCAAGATTGTCATTGACAATCATGCTTATGCAAAATTCTTGCTAATGAACATAATTTATGATTTATACTATTTATTATTATGAATATAATATTTATGTTAAGAAACATCAAAGCGGGTAATATGCGCTCATCTACCATCCACAAATTGGTGATTCTTTGGTTTATAAATTATTTATAATTTATATATAATGATTATTATTATTTTTCAACATAACAAAATTAACATATAATTAAGCAAGTAGTATAAACGAATGGGAGTTCTCCCATATATACTCTTTCGTTTCTATAAAGTACGTCGATGGTTGCTCAATTAGAAAAATGACTTCTTCTCACACACTTCATTATGTGTCTTTCTTGTGTGAGGCTAAGCATGTCCATTGACACTTTCATTTAAAAAGCTCTTGTTAAATTTCCTTACCTTGCTCTATACCAGTACCACCATATTTCTGCAATTTTGTCTGCCATCTTTATAGACACAATAGAAAAAGTTTTACAAATGTAGCACATTTGGTATCGTATATCCCACCATTAGAAATATAAACTATGAATGCATATTCTAATATAGACTACTACAGACTAATATATTTATACTGAGTACTCTACTATAGATTCTGTTATACAGTTCAGAATGCAATTTAAAAAATGTCAAATTTAAAACGTGTTTAGTGTTCATGCAATGGTTTAAAAAAAACAGTTATGTAATATTAGATCTAAAGCAAAAGTTATGTCTGCTAGAGTTCAATGCATCAATCTTCTAGACGAGTACGTTTATCCAAGAAAATGGCCACTCAGAGGCGCTGCATGTCTCTACCACCCGAGTGCTGGCAGCAGTCGCAGCACTCACAGGCAGAAGGCATCCGCGGCGAATTCGCTATCAGCTTCGACTCCTACGAAGGAAGAAACTTGGACGCAGCAGCCGGAGACCTTCTGGTAACAATCTGTCGTCACGCCCTATGCATTTCTACCCTCGAGCCCTTCCCTTCTTATACCCCTTCCGGGAAGAACTATCTTGTACGTGCGTCTACCTAGTAGATCATTTGTTGTGCCAGCGGGGAAACCCAACCTATGAAAGTGAAAATCATTGCTACAGTGTTTATATGCAGCCTGCAGTGTTCAAGCTCTTGCCATGTGGTCTGGCATATGCTGATGCCACGTTGTTCCTGTGTGTGGGTGATGATGATTATCACATGTTAAATGCAGGTAGAGAATGGCTACTTTGTGCATTACTTTGCGCCGGACATGGGTGGCAGAACGGTGCCTTCTCACATCGTGTTTGTGGTGGACATGTCAAGCAGTGCTGCCCCCTACCTACTTCTTATAAAGGCCGCCCTCATGGAGGTCAGTCATGACTGTGTCTGTGAAATGGGGTTTGATGTGTATACAGCTATATACTGATATATATAGCTCTATATCTGTGTATATCATCTGACAGACCCATCTAGAGAGCTCAACAGAGCCATATCCTCCACCCATCCATCCTAGAAAACAAATGAATGAGAAACGTGAACCAGTTAATTTTTGAGATTTCGAAACTTCATTTTACTTACTATTTCACAAACATGGTGCTGGCTGTACTTTGCCTTTGGCCTCCGTCGAGAACCTAGAATGCTCTAGACCCCAGTCCCCCACTCACTGCTGGTGTTTGCCTCCTCTACCACCTTGGCACGTTCCTGATCTGCCACTGTATAGCAGTAATCTGTGTAATCGTTAGGCGCGTGGTAATTAGAACTGATGTCCTTGGTGCATTGCTGCAGCTTTGGATGGCTTGTCAAGGAAAGCCGAGGCAGAGGAGTACTTCAACATCATTGTGTACAATGATTCCATCCATCAGTTAAAGGAGCTCAAACCTATACACATTACATCGGATAACATCAGACATGCTAGAGATTTCGTCAGTTCTTGGGAGGCTGATGGAGGTAAGCTATTTTCAACATCTACATGCCCATATAATATAATATAAGTGAGTGAACGTACACATGTATGTGTGCGTGCGTGCGTGCATGCGTGCACACACGTGTATGCTCCCAGGGGCGTAGCCAGGATTTTTCAAAAGTTTAGGCACGCACTAACTGAGCGAGCGCCACCATCGGTTGGCGCAGAGCTAACAGAAAATTTTGGTTTTACAAAACCCCCAGAATGGCCGAAAACGCCCTTCCCGAGATGTTCATTCTGGTTCCCTGACACTCTTGCTAACTGAGACACCTCATTCAATATCACTATTTAAACCCAAAAACAAACGAGTTAAAATTAGTATTACGAAACGATTTAAAATGTAAAAAAAACTGACAAGAATCGGCATCCTAGTCTTTTTTCGGGCAGGGGTAGAGTGTTTGAATGAAACGGCACAGCGAATAGAAAATGACAGCCTTAGATGAAGAAGAATAGGTCACCTAATTTAGCAATACATTCATGTACGTTCATCTCAGATAGTTTTTTCCTTCTAGACCTCCTTAAACTCGTCCAGCAAGCTTATGGATTTGAATTAATGGTGATTTTACGAAAAAAAAAGATAACTTGGCCAAAAAATAAGGTAGCCCCGGCCCTACAGTGCTCCAAATACTGGCTACCCAACTGCTCCCATATGTGATTGTGCATGATTGCACGTGCCTCTGTTATGTGTGTGTGTATGTACTCATGATGAGCAGTAATGAGCTACGTTAATATTATATTCTAGCGAAAAAGAGACGATAGTCTGCTTTCAACTTTTTCAGATGCCCACATCAGTCATGCCCTTAGTGAGGCTGTGGCAACAGTCAATTCAATACCGGACTTGCGACTCCATCAACAGTTTTCCTCCTATCCACCGCTGCTAACTCAGTGCAGGACATTGCACCAGACATAATCCTGGAGGATGTAAAGAACAACAAGGTTTGCCATGATACGGTGTCTAGCTTTTCCCGTTTACTACTTTACTAATTCATTCTATACTTATGATCTTATTAACTTGCCAGATCGCTATTTCTGCATTTCCTACAATGATGCATTTTGAATTTCCAAAAAAGTTTTTTTATAGGTCTGTGGATGTATATATTCATGGAACTATTACTGTTGTATACTACTATACTTCTATATTCTATTATTATATTTTTTATAATTGTTGGTAAATTATATCTTATAGCTGCTTCAGTGTATTGTTTTCTATAAAGTTGCTTGACATCAGAGATGTGGAACCGACATGTGTTAAGTGTCTACAGCCTACGAGAAACTATACTGTCTCTGGCTTCACTCACCATTACAAATTTGAGTCACAAAATGTTATTTGAAAATTCCTAAAAGCAAATATTAATTCTAAAAATTTTATTTTGATGGAGGGACGTAAAGAACGTAAGAACGTTTTCAATTATTATTCAGTAAAGGTGTGGATAGCCTCAGAAGAAGTTGAGTAGGATGGAACTAACAGTTACCATATAATAATATACATGCTTTTTACATGCTTCACAATTTATATATAATATACTGTGTAATGTCACGTGTATAATATATATCTTTAACACATATTTAAATTCACAATAGTTATAACGTGATCATTTCTGCATTGTTATGTATGTACAGCATAGGGACTTCACTCTTCACACGCTAGCCGTTGGAGACAGTGCAGACTCAACTTTCCTGCAGCGACTAGCAGCACATCATGGTGGTGAGAGCCTACATGTATCACCAGCAGAGGGCGCTACTGAAGCACAGGAACTGTTGTCGAGGTGAGTTGCCTGGCACCCGCAGCAGTTCGCATACCGAACATATCTAACAATCTCTGAACTTTAGTTAGACACTCATCACAAGAATGGACGGTTGTCTATAAATTACACTTTTGTAGGTTGTTCGTTATATGTGTAGTTTTGAGTGCATACTAAACGTTGTCGTTGCCATTGTTCGTTGCTAAGGTTTATCACGAATCGACTCCGTCCCTCCGCCACCGACGTCACCATCAGTTACCATGACGACGAAAGTCGACCCCGGCCTCACTCACGGATACCGCATTCAAGACTACTATGGCCAGTCGCAGTTGGTCGTTGCAGGCAAGCTGCGCACGGCCAATCAGACGTCGCTGATTGCCAACGTCGAGATGAGCGTGCCTGACCGAATCGCTCGTGTGCTGAAGGTCAACCCGCAGGAGAGCGGAGTAGGTGGTGGCGCCCCCACACGGCAAAACTATGCACACAAGGTGTGGGCCCACCTCAAGATACGCGAGCTGGCACGGCAACTGCTGCTGGCGAGAGGAGATAAGGGTCAACGCCCTTGCTGGCCTCTCTGCAGACATTGCCACCGCGGTAGGTTGCACGTGGGTTTCGATTTGCGTTGGTGGATACCTGTTCTGTGTGTTGCAGAAGGCAGATTTTTAATTCAATTTTCCGCATGTGAGATTGTACACATTCCCTTTCTTGGGTTAAGACTCAGTATTCAACAAAGTCTGTGTCATAATTAATACTAACAGTTGTGAAAATGCTACATATGGGGTAGTCTTTTTACAGGAAGGCTATCTACTGCCGATCACTTACATGGTTATCGACGACCAGAGCCTGGGAACCAACTCCTCATTCTCAACTGCGTATGCTGACACCATGTGGGGTCGCGAGAACAGGCGTATTGCTGAGGAGATTGAACTTGTCTTGCCAGCCACAGGTGCCACTGCATTAGTTATGATGTGGTGATATGACTATGGGTATCAATAAGAAATTAAAGAAAGTATCTTACGCGTTATAATGCAAAAGGTGTCGTGTATTCTTGTATGTTATATATGTATATTGCATTCTAAAAATGTTTTGTTTTTTCATTTTTGACAAACAACAAGTGACATTAATTTATTCATTATATCTTCTTTCTCAAATTATGCAGCATAAACAAAATGAAATACACTTATCTCAGCAATTGCAATAATAGAAGTCATTTCTAATAGATGTAGATGGGTGTAAGCATGCTCTATATACGGATTTAAGAACCCGCCACATGAATCGATTAAATCATAAATAAATTTTAATCGCAATGTTACCTAAAGAGTTGTGTGTAATGAGGCAGTTTCTAAATAAATGCAGATGAGTGTAAACGTGTGGTCTGCACGTAGGGATATATGTGTTCGATCAGTGCATAATTGATGTGCATGGCCGTCCTATTTCAGCACTACCGCAGCGGAAGCAGATGCATCTTGACGCCACGGCAGTCACGAGCGACCCACTCTCTGTCTACCTTAAGTGGAATACTCCGGCCGATATTGAGTCAAGTGAGTAACCATTATCCAGTCATAGAGATAGGTTTCGCTGTCATTCACTAGTGTAGTGGGTATGACTATTACACATGTCTGAGTGTTAATGCGAAAGTATGTGTATTTTGTTTACCATATGAAGAATGTGAATTTAATATGTATTTTTTATTGTGATGATAAGTGAATGTGGAGACGCATCTTTAAAGGAAATGTGAGAAAGTGAAGGAATGGGGTTTTGGCAATTATGTATCTGTGATAGTTCAACGGTTTGGCAGTTGTATGTAATTGTGCTCGTAGCAGTGGAATCAATGTTTTGGCAGCTTTATGTATCTGTCATGGTATAGCAGTTTTCCTATTTACTTGACAGGTTACTACGTGCATTACACGACAAATAACTCCCTGCCGGAAGAAGAATGGGACGTCATGCATGGTTCCCAGCGCACGGCAGACATCCTTACAAACCTATCTCCCGAGACAACCTACTTCATTAAGGTCACATTAGAGAATGGGCATTCTAGCGACACTGTTCATTTCACCACTTCGCTGGGTAAGAGTGAGGGCAACGTTAGGCACATTTCACACAACGGTTGAAACAATACACACATTCGTAACTGCTAACATAAACCTTGATTTTGTAGAATATGGATGGGAAGAATATATGATTGGAAAGATTGGAATATATGAAGTAAAACGAAATATTGTAGCAATGTGCTTACTAGTTCTATGTGTGATAAGAAGCTATATACATTATCGTCAAATACGACAAACACATAAACTATGTAGCAGAGAAGAAATACAACTAAAATACATTATCTATAAACTCCATTAACTTTATAAACCATGTTATAACACTGTCAAACTGCAAATAGCCACCAAATTGTTTAACTAAATCGACTTCCTTTGTTCTTTAGTTCCAGCTAATTCTCCTGTTAACATAAAGTCACTTGACATCAAGTCGGAGATTGGCTATCGCTATGCAAAGACCTTCATCAACATGCACTTTCAAAACTTTGCTCTTGAGTCACAAGAGACCTTGTTCAATATACAGATTCCAAAGACTGCGATCATAGTCAATTTCACTATGTGAGTGATGTTAATTACCTTCCATGGCACCTATTTAACAACCGTTTAACATATTGTCTCAGTTAAAAATAAGTGACCATTGAAATGTCCAAGTGCTGCTCAGGGTTATTCACGATGATATTCATATCTAGGATAAAGGTTTTGCCAACTATCTTGGCGTCAAGAAATTGACTCGTTGCTCTATAATATCATTATGATTTAACCAGGGAGACGGATGGAAATATTTATACGGGTCTTGTAAAAGAGTTCAAGAAAGCTGAAGAGACATATAGAAAAGCCAAGAAGGAAAAGAAAGGAGCTGCAATAGTAACTGCTGAGTATGCATTACATATAAACGTTAAATCTTATTTCCCTATTAGATGAAGGCTGCAGTTATTCTTGATAGAAACACTTATAGCTATCACAGTAGATGTAGAGCTATTTCAACTGCACACCAGTTATTTTTTTTATTTATCACTCCACTTAATGATTACAGAATGCACTGCCATTTAAAATCTCATTACTTTAATTGTTGCGCTTCCATGCTAAATAATATCTTTGAGCAAAACAAATTTAGTTAGCATTATTTCACTTAAAGCTAAACTTCACGTGTCTGATTGTTGCTGTTTTGCTATTTAACCATATTTATAACATATACATTCATCATGTCTCACCTTTACATGTCATCCCTCTCGTACCATGTTTTCATTGTAAACTTGTTATGCAACAAGTACGCATGAATCGAAGTGATTACACCATATCCGTTATTTTCCCAACGTCGTTATTGCAGGCCACGGGATGCAAAGGCATTCAATTTGCGGTTGAATGTAAAGCCGCGTTCGGTCACAGTGTGCAGACTGGAGTATGAGCAGCTACTGGAGCGTAAGTTGGGTGTCTATGAGCACGCTATCATACTCAAACCCAATCAGCTGGTACGAGACCTAAAGGTAGGCGACGCCATGCACCTATAACATTGCAACCTTCAGAAAATGATTTAAAGTGTTAATTCTGAGTGATTATATTGTAATCGTTTATTGTACTGTAAAATTAGTCATGTTGTGAATATTCAGTCAGTATATGCACATTGTGAGTGTATATAATAATATATAAACTCTCTATGGATGTTTGCACTGGTAGTATTAAAATTCATAAATGATGATATTTTTATGAGACCTTTTATGAACATTGTGAGTGAATATTCTAGATCAAGGAGTACATTCACTGTGAGGAAATATTTTATGACCTATGTGAATTTTCCAGGTGAATGTATATATCACGGAGCCTCAGCCTATTACATATCTGCATGTGCCACCACTACGAGCCATTACTGGAGTAATAGATGAGGATAGGGAGAAGGCAGGTAGGCTATAAGATCTAACAATGGAAAATACACAGGTCTAATATACAGGCACAATATTATTTCATTGTGTTGCCATTTAATTAATGTAATAATAAAAATTTGAGTTGCAGTAAGTGCATAATCTGTTCTTTGTTTTGTTCATAGATAAATTTAAACAAACTAAAATAATTTTTTGATTGCCTACAAAACAGCAAATTATGCAACATAATTATTCTATTAATTAGGTATGGTATAATACTTGTGTGCAGATAACCAAGTGGCAATGGTGCAACATGACTCCGGAAGTGGCGTTGCATGGGTGTCGTATAGTCCAACCCTACAGCAGCAGATGGAATTTTTGGGAGGCAGTGTAGAAGGCCAACTGATATTGAAGTATGACATTGCCAATGACAAGAAGACAGGAGACATACAGGTACATCTACATACGAATATTTTACAAAAAGATGACCCGCTCAAATAGACTTATTATTAACTAGCTGCAGGTACCTGCTACGCTGGGTAAAATCGTCTTACTAATTCATACTACTAATAATCGGACACAATAGGAACATTGGGGAAAAATGGAGAATAATATTGGACACAATATCAATATTTAGAAATCAGTCTAATAAGATAATGAGCATATGGTAAAAAATGGTTACGTATGACATTTATATCACAGCACAACCCAACTTAGTGTTACGATATGAGATTCATGTACCATATATGTACATCGTTGATGACGTCACATCACAACATATGAGCGGTAATAAAATGGCTACCTATAACTCATAACGTGGTTGAGCATTGCCTCCTTATTAATAGGCTTCGCGCAACGCCAGGCCTTCGGGCACGCTTCACATGGTGGCAGCGGTAAAGAAACAGCAGTAATGAAGACATAAAACCGCGGTGAAGATATGGAACAATTGAAAGTGAGGCCAACCACCGTTTCGGAGAAGGAGTGAGTTTTATTTGTCGCCAGAGTGATTCGGACGTGACAATTAACGCCAGCGGCGCGCCATGCATGAGCTTAGGCTAAGGCTAGGCCAATTCCCCCTAGATGCTAGCTGGATACCAAACTACAGGGCGCGTGTACGCAGTGGATAATCACATTTAACATGACGGAGAACTGCCACTATTAGCTTTATTTCGACTCTACAGAATTCAGCAGTCAGCAAAGCTAGCACGGAGAACACAGTTTCGGATCGGACTGCGTAGTATGAGGCAGAATGCCCGATTTAGATTCCTTTTCGTCGGGAACAAGTGACTGAGCTTTTCAACGTCAGCTCCGAGTTCGAGCCGATAGCGGCGCGTCAACGTGGTAATTCGTCCGTGGAATCGGCCCTCCGTACGTGTAACCGGCCCCCGGAGCGACGGCATCAACGGCGGTGGACTCGACCAGCGCGTGTAGGCCGTGCATAGCGGGCAGATCTACGCAAGATAGCTACGTGGCGAGAACTGCGGCACCATTTTAGCGCTGCCAAGCACCAGACATTGGACATGCTACGACGGATTGAATCTGAACTTAAAGCATTGATCAGCAATGCCAATGACAATCTAGACTACCAGAGTCTATATTTATCAAGCTCACACTCAGATAGTTTTTTTTAAGACTGGACTTAGACCTAGAAGTTGGAAGTTGAATTATCTGAGTGGCACTAATCCACAGTTGCGGACGTTGCTGCATGGAATTACTATGGTAATGTAGTGTCGATGGAATGTATTAGATAATAGTAAGCAGTTATTACGTGTGAATCTTACAACTTCAAGGATTTAGTATTTGACAGCGATGTTGTTGAAAATAGTGAATTACCGAATTTGCGTAGACGTAGTATTTAGTAGCTGCTAAGCACATACGGAAATAGGCTAGCCTAATCCTGGTTTTGTGGTACTTGTAATTAATTGTTTGTATTATATATACACTAAATCATACGGTATATTTTGGAACAATTTTGCATTACGTACAGGCAGTGTACTATACAGTAAGCACACTCACATCATTCTTTATATCGCCAACGTAGTGTACCACGTACAATGGCAAAATACCCGGAGATGAACTGGAAGGTAAGCGACCTTCCAAGTGAATTTAAGCTATTTAGGCAGCGCATGGAGCTAGTGCTCCAGGACCAGGAGGTCCAAGACCCTACCAAGCAAGCGGTCAAAGTCAAAATCGCCCTTGGGGGAGAAGGCCTTAAACGACTTAATTCGTCGGGGCTTAGTGAA